TCACATACTTAACAACTTTGTCTGATGCACTTTTATGTAGTGAAGTTTTTTTTCCCACCATGTTTCCTCAAAGCAGTTTTAAAATAAAATACAGTAGCCAAAAGTCCAGAGACCCCATAGGACAGTGCAGTTAAATAGAGTATAAGCTTTTACAAGTAGGTTCTCAGAGCTGCCGTGCTGAATTATAAACCTGGGACAATTTGGACCACCTTAGAGTCTCTAACTGACAGTCTTTTGTCAAAAAAAGGAGAATCATAATTGTGACTACAACTTTGCTCTACTTACCGCTATAGCAGATGCATGTAGCCATATCTGAAGATTATGCTACAGCATGTCTCTAAAGCCAGCCGTCTCTCGGACCATGCTGTTGTACACTGCAGTGTAAACGTTTACAACATCCAAAGCTGAAGGGCGGAGCTTGGGGTCTTCTTTCTTACACTCCTCGTGGATCTGGAAAAGATGGAAATGGACGACATCTCCTCCGGGAACTCTGCCCATCAGGAACCACGTCACATCTGGGATCTTCCAAATGTCTGTCTTCTCATCGTACCCCGGCATGAGTTCATCCGAAAATGGCTTTCCTTCATTTCTGAAAGGCCAAAGTTGCTCAGGGGCCACAAAGTCTCCGCTCAACTCTCGGTGACCACATTTCACCAGAGAGCTGCTGGACGGATCCACCAGTGGCAGTGCGTCCAGGTCGTTCACCACTATGTGGAAATCAGTGGTGAGCAGGAACTGGGAGAGGATTTTCTCCAGACTGTTAGAGTCGCACATGACGCGCTGCCCTGCTGGGCTGTTATGGAGGTAGTGAAGGATTGAGACGTAGTCTATGGCCAGTCTGAACCGGGTCTGCCATGTGTCGCGATGGTGGTGCTGTTGTTGTGAAAGGGCACTGTCCAAGTTGAGCAGTGAGCCATGGGGGTGGTGCTCTGTCACCAGGGTGTGGTCTTCCAGGCAGAATCCAACCAACTGCACCACCTGGGGGGCCTGCAGAGCTTCTAACATTGAGAGTCCATGGTTAAAGTCCTCTAGATATTCCGGAGATGACAATTCAGACAGCGCCACCTTCTGAGTCTTCCACTCAGAAAGAAACACCTAAGAAATAGAAAGAACAGTCCTGAAAAATGTAAACTTATAAGACTTTTCTTTTATGAATAAGCTATTATTCAC